GATAGAGTAGAACTGCTCCAGAGGGTTTTAAAAGCCATGTTCCTTCCAAGGTAGATCACCAAGCCTTACTTCCAAGAAGCCTTGGGAGGTGGGTGGTAGTGGTGGTGGTGTCTGAATCACCAACTTCCAATCAATAGCTTAGCACTTTACTGTGCTTAAGACTCCTTAACCAAATCCTAAAACCAAACCCACTATCAGTGAATCCACTCTGACTTATAATGACCCAATAGAATGTTTCAGAGCCAGTAAGTCTATACAGACACAGACAAACTCATCTTTCTCCAATGAAGCATCTGGGGAGTTTGAACCAGAGACCTTGAGATTAGCAGCCCAGGACCTATCGCAAAATGCCATCAGGCCTCCCTAAAATGATTCCTTAGATGGGTACTAACAGTCCCTATTTTCCAAACGGGCAACTTGCCCAAGCAACACAGAAATCCCCAATCCCTTATGTGAGTAGGTAATAGAGGCTTTATATCTGGTTTCTTTAACTAGATTGCAGTGCTGGCCTGGTGACTTTGGGAGCCATGGTAGTGCAGTGGTTAAAGCACACATGGTACTACTTAAAAGATCAGAGGTTAGCTACTCTCCATAGGAGACAGACGTGGCAGTCTGCATGTGTAAAGATTGATAGCATTGGAAACTACACAGGGCTGTTCTACCCTATCCAGCAGGGTCACTGTGAATCAGAATTGACTCAATGGCAGTGGTTTGGCCTGGTTTGGGGACTGATAACCTTACCCAATTTGTGAGACACACTGCTCTCCCTGAAGAAGCCTGGGAAACATCCCATCAGCCAGCATATTCTCAAACCACATTGATGCAATGCCATCCACAGATGCCTGCTTTCATTTCCAAAATGAACCTCTCTTACCTTCAGTTCTATCCAAAGTCCCACCCAAGCCTTTTTACCCAATCACTGAGGCTTACCCTTTAGGGCAGTGATTCTCAACCTTTCCAATGCTGAGACCCTTTCATACAGTTCCTCATGTTGTAGTGACCCTCCAACCATAAAGTTATTTTCGTTGCTACTTCATAACTGTAATTTTGCTACTGTTATGAATGAGGAGACCCCTGTGAAAGGGGTCCCACAAGTTGAGAACTGCTGCTTTAGGGAGCATTACCCCTGAGTTGGGTTTTCTTAAAATAGACTTGATAATAATTAAACACACACATGCATGTATCCTTCCCTTACATTACTACACATAATTAGTTAAATTTTTCCATGGATGTGTGGCAGTTGAGAATGACTTCACATTCAGGTGACCTGTTAGAAAGTGTAATAACTCCTATGCAACCACGAGGTGTCGAAGGGATCATGTATAAGGCATCATCAGAACAAAAAAATCTTACCATAGTGAATGATGGGGGGAGTGCGGAGTGTAGACCCAAAGCCCATTAGTAGGCCACTGGAGATCCCCTTGCAGAGGGTCTCGGGGAGGAGATGAGCCAGTCAGGGTGCGATGTAGCAACGATGAA